GGTAATAATCATTCCCTTTAATGTAATGCACCAAATATGAAAACATGTATCTGTTTAGATATTTTTAATTAGATATTTTAGATGGTATTATTTTTATATGAAAAAATGTTTTAAACTTCATAATGTGTGACATACAGATATCTCGGTATAGTTTTTATTTTTTGTTTTGCCTCAACATAAGTAGTTTTTCTATCTGAAAAAAGGAGGGAAAGTGTCATACAAAATTGAAGCAAATTCCAGTTAGAACTTGCTTTTCAAATTTTCAGCTCTCAGTGAATTCAGTATTAAGTATATGTTTAATCATTTGGTTCCCTGTGTTGATTTTGATCAAATTCCTGTGAGTACCACATTATGTTCATAGCAGAGGACAGTGATTATAAGGCACTATATTAAATCTGTTATTTGCATAAGTTTGGTAATTTATAAAAATAAGTAGCAGTGAAAATGCAAATCCTTGGCAGTGCTTAAGTATTCATATTAGGGTGGGAGCAGAAATGGGTTTTTGATAGATATTATTATATACATATATAAGCTTATTTTACACATTTAGTAGTTACAGACTACTATGAATGTTTATAAATGAATTAATCATTGCAATGTATTTTGGTCAATAAAGAAACATTATAATAGATAAAGTTTCTAAATTACAGATGGGGTTAAAGAACAAAAATAGCATACTTCTTGTTATGCATTACTCAGTGAACGAGCAATGGAGTTCATGGGGTTTGTAAGCTACAGTCTCATGATGGCAACACACTTATCCTCCTGCTTAAGACATTCCGATAATACTTTAAATTGTTGCATTGATATGTTGAAATTTAGCTTTTTCATCTATAGAAGTTGTTATTTTGTTATTGGAATAGTATTCCTTTTTAAAAATTATTAAACTTATTGGTGTGACATGTTTAATAAAATTATATCAGTGTATGGTTCGATAATACCTCATCCGTGTATTGTGTTGTGTGTTCACCACCCGGAGTCATGTCTATTTCCATCACCATTTATCCCCTTTATCCTCTTCTACCTCCCCCAACCCTGAAACAGTATCCTTATTCTCCAAGACAGTTTTCATTTATTTTGGTTTTGTTTAATAAATGTTTATGTCTTTACTTAAGAGATAAAGTAAATTTATTTCTTTATTTTAAATAAACCCAGAAGTTTCTGGGTTTATTTGTTTATTCCGTGATACTATCTCCTGCTGAAACTTCGATAAGTTCTGTCTTTTCAGATGTTAAATTTGTGCCCTAATGAATTACCTTCATGTCTTTTTAATCTACATATAGGATGACTTGACTACCCATTATATAATACTAATAGTATAGATTCAAAATTGGAATGTTATCTACATGGTATGTAGAAATAATTTTAAGAAAAGAAAGAGGAGAATGAAATGATGTGCAACAGCAACAATTTTTTAATGAAAGAATGAAAATTGCCCAGTTTGCCAATGAGCAGACTACACTGCTTTCACTGCCAGTCTGATAAATTATGTAAGAATTAGGGTTACAACCCCTTTTCCAATCAGCTAAAACAGAATTCCAGGGGAAAAGATGGGCAAGTGTTCTGAAAAATAGTACAGTGCTATGTAAAAAGTCACACACCGCGATGACGGCGCTGTTGCTTCTGGATTTTTAAAGTCTTTTTGTCTTATGTCTTGCATATACAGTCAGTCTGTGAATATTTTTGGTGATGAATTCACTTTTTTATCAAATATTTCTTAGGCCTCTATATGGAGTCAGACATATTCTCACTCTTTTTTCTCCTTATTATTCCTAATCTTGGAATTAAGATTTATTTTTTGCAGATAAAGGTAAATGACTTTTATTTGACAGCATCTTGTTAATTAAGGAAATTGGGAGTATGAGATTGTTGTTTATTTCCAATGTAGTAAATCTTGAGCTGCAGCTGCTGAGAAACTAAGTTTAAAAATCAAAATATCCTCTTTTGAATAGTAAAACTCTTCTATTTTTATGTACTTTTTACAGGGGAAATAGATCACCTGCTAGTGTAGGTACAGGTGATACAGTGAAACTAATTTCTCCTTTTTTGAAGACTCTTCACTGATTTCTCCTATACTGTATACTTAATTATCACATATTAAAGAAAAATAAAACTGATAAGATAATTCTGAAATGAGGAATAATTTATGTAAAATACAGATTTTATGTGTTAAGAACCTACAGCTGTTCAAACAAAATAAAGATGTGTAAGACAGTAGATACTTCCGAATTTAGAGAACTACAGAGAACTTCTGAAATACAGAGAATTTAAGCATCTTTCTAATTGCTTCTTAAATTTATAGACTGTTGACCCCTCCAAAGTCTAACATTCTTTATTGTAATAAGAGTACATTGAAATGACTATATTAACTTACATGGAAGAAGAGAAGAGAGAAGCAAAAACACAAATGGAAAGCAAATATTCCACAAATAAGCTTCAAGATAATAGAAGGTGGCCATACAAGAAGCTTTGTAATCTGTTGTTAGTTTATGAAATCTTCCATTCATTTTATTTCTTTTATAGCATCTGTTTTTATATTACATATATAAAATGGGCATTGAAAATTACTGACATTCTAGCCCTGGCTGGTATAGTTCAGAGGATTGAGTGAGGGCCTGTGAACCACATGATCACGGTTCGATTCCCAGTCAGGGCACATGCCTGGGTTGCAGGCCAGTTCCCAGGAGGGGATACATGAGAGGCAACCACACATTGATGTTTCTCTCCCTCTCTTCTTCCGTTCCCCTCTGAAGATAAATGAATAAAATCTAAAAAAAAAGAAAATTACTGACATTCTAGAAAAGAAATTCTAAAAGCTTTCTCAGTAAATAGCAGATTTCTCTTTAAATTGATATTGTTTACATGTTTCCTTCCCTTGACATTGAGGTTCTTTTTATATTATCTATAATCACCTTAAAATCAATATAGTTTTCTATATAATAATCTTTTGAGACACAAACTATACAATGTCCTTAAGTATGAAAATACAGTGCTTACCATGACAAAGAATTTCAGAGTTTAGGTATTAAATATTCTCAGCTATGATCGGTGAAATTTATAAACACAAAACTCGATGGTTTTTTTTTCTATTTCCACAGTGATAGTAAGGAATGAGTTTAAAATATGTTTTGTTTTACTTCTCTTCCACTTTTTCATAGTTGCAAAATCACCGTGCCCTGAAGGGACACGGGGAGGAAGAGCACACCCGCCTCCATTTTACGCCCCAGGTGCACCACACCTTTCTCGGAAAACAAAATGCCACTTTTCTGTGGTGATTTCTCCATAGCCTGATATATAATTGATGCACTTAGACCTCATTTATTTTACCATACTGTCTGCAAAATTAATACTGTGTGGTTGAGTAGACAGTTATCTTTATTTATGGCTAAGTTAGCTCTTTCACAAGTGTGACTTTTCTGGCAATTCTGAGGAATACCCTGGTAGTAAAGGAGGACTCTTCACTCTGACTGGAACTTGGATAACTCTTAAACTTGTGAGTGTGTGTGTGTGTGTATATGTTTTTCATTTTACAGTTCCCAGCTGTTCTCTGCTCAGCCTTGTGGGAGTTTCACCCCTCAACTGCACAGCTGATTATTTTGCAATCATCGTGACAAAGACGCGTGTTTCTGAAGTTCTTTCTCTGCTCTTCCTCTCAAGTACTCTGATCCACCGATTTTAGCCTCCTCAGTCTCTCTGCAGTTTAACTTTTGTCTCTTCAATTCATCAAGATCTCATGGGATCTCCCTTTCTACACAGTATTATTAAAAGTGCCTTCAAGAAAAAAAAAAGGCCTAATTTTAAAGCTCACCTTATTAGTTTCCCTATTCTCATATGACAGTCTTTCACTGTCTGTCAGCTAATGTCTGAAAACAGTCTTTTGATACATTTTATTTGTTTTGAGTTGTTTACTGCAGGAGGACAAGTCTATTCTTTCCTCCATCATGACCAGAAGTAAAACTGCATTTAAAAATTTTTTTGTGTGATTTATAAACATTGGAATTTCAGGAAGCATCAGATTCTGTGTGTCATTCATATTTGTTCTACTCACATAATCACTGATTTGGAGTTATCATATTCCAAGATGCCATTTCTTTGATTCCATTTCCCCTGCCCTGTTTTCTGTACCCAAGGGCCTTCGCTGGAGTTAACACCATCGACCTCTCTCTGGACTTACTCACTCACTCTACACCAAGTTAAGTAGGACAAAACGTTTAGAAGCTGGATTGGGGAGAAGGAATGGAAAAATCTTGGATTAGCCTAGTTGTGGTTGTACTCTCAAGTTAGTCTCTCTTTAGGCTGTATTCAGGTGAGGCCTTTAGTTGTCTGTCATGGTCTGTGAGCAGGTTCGTTCCGTTCATGTGGAGACATTTTGGAAGAGCATGTGGCAGCCAATGCAATCATGGTGCCTAATTTAGCTGTTTTGGTACTAACACTAATATGTTGAACTCTGTTTATCTGTTCTTAACTACTTCTCAGTTGGACCCAAATTTGGAGAGGGAAATAAGGGAATTATTATTCTCCTCAAACACAACAATATCACAGATACACACTCGTCAATTAACATGATATCAGATCACTGTTTTTAACTGTGAGGAATGCAAGTTGTAAAGCTCATGCTTCCATTGATGGTTAGGGCAAACTGTAACCCCAGGTTATACGGTTGATATGTGGTGTGTAAATACTACAGCTGTCTCTCCAGGAGTCCGGTAGTCACTCTCCAGCTCAGCAGTTCTCTGTCGCCTCCTGTCCAGTTTCTGGTGTCTAAGTTGGGCCCTTCAGCCCTTCCACCACCTGCTGTTGCTGCATCGGCACTGTTTATAATAAGTGTGGTAAATAGCAGTTGATAGTACAAGATGTAATTACAGAAAAACGTTTTCCTTTGAAAGCTGTATATATTCTACATATTTCTAGAATTTGTAGTTTTACATGCTAAACATTAATACTTATTTTTCAATGCATCTAGCCTGTCTTATAATAATACATGCTATCTTCCTTATTAGACAATGATCTCAGCAAAATTTTATTACACTTCAAGATGTCTGATAAACAAACCGAGTGGATAGAAAACTGCCAAAGACAATTTTGCAAAATGATGAAGGCCAAACCTGATATGATCAGTGGAGGTGGTGAGTACATGGTTTTATTTTTCTGTATTTTTCTGTATTAGTAGAAGCTTTGTTTTCTGAAGATTAGGGCCAGTATGTCTGGAATACATAATACTAATTCAAGGATTCCATTGACTTTTGAGAAACTTGTGGTGCTGGAGAACCCAAATTAAAATCTGAGATGACTAAGCTTTTTTTGAAAACTGTCTAATATATTTTAGTAAGCAAAGCTGAAACACTGATTTATCTTTGTCCAGGTAACTGTTTGGTGTTACCAGCTTTCACCTGCACTTATCATACTGCTATATTTAGGAAATTTTATTGAATTTTTATTGACAGATATTTTAGAATTATGCTACCTCCAGCCCCGTAAATTTAGTGACTCCTAAAGAAATTTTGTTTTGAGGGAATGGATATGTTTTCTAAACTAGTAAACAATTTGTTTATATTCAGATATTTGTATGTAAATTTGTTTTCTAAAATCATCACTTTTTAATTAACATTATTTGGAGTAAAGAAGAAGGTCTAAGATAAAAGTTCTGATGTTAATATAAGTTAGATTTATTGAAAGCTATAATTTAAAAGTAATTTTTTATTTTAACATGCTTTATGGTTTTCATATTTGTATCATAAAATTAAAAGTGGAGAATAAAAACAAGTTTATATTTTATTGTAGAAATTATATTCTAAAGAATATGATATATATCTATGGTAATAAGTCAAATACTATTCTTAAATTTTATATAAAGTGAGTAGTTAAACTGTGTTTTACCATAAAATATTTATAAAATATCTATCATAAATATGTATTATTGATTATATCATAGAGACTATTTAAAATAGACTACCAGTGAGTTCTACACATGTCACAACATACAGAACATTGAGAAAGCAGCAGCTTGTTATAGTGTTCATTTAAACATAATAAGTATGTGTGTGACTATGAAACAGGATAAACAAATAGAACTTTATGAAAACTGTATGCCCTTGGAATCTTGTGGCATTTCCCACAAGTCTGCCCTCAGTTATTCATTGCCATTCTACAGTGTCCAGAACTAGACTGTAAGCTACTCTCATTAATATATCTAGCCCTCTATGCCCATCATGTTCTAGTAACTTATACCAAACTCTGTCACTTTTCACTGCAACTTTAAAAAACAGTTTATATTTTATGGATAGGGAAACTAAGGCCTGGAAATTTTACGTATCTAGCCCAGTTCACAGTCGAGAAACAAACCAAGGCAGCCTAACACCCAAATGCATATTTTGTATCACTTTGCTGTGCTACTTTACATTTCCTCTTTCGTGCCTAATGTTTTACACATCAGAGACAAATAACATTTATTAAACACAGGTGGACATAATACTAGTTTAGATAAATTCTGATATAATTTATAATGTCTCATATCTCATAACATTGGTTTCCTGCCTATAAACTAAAATGAACTAATTTTGCAGGTAATCTGAATATATAAATAATAGGCAAAGGTATGCTTTTATGAGGCAGGCATGTCAGTTGATGTATTTGTGTGTATGCATGCACTTGTACAGTCTGGCTCTGTTATCCGGGTCAACTGAGATCTTTTTTTTTTAATTGTTGTTCAATTACAGTTTTCTGTCTTTTGCTCTCATCCCAGCCCACCCACCCAGCCCTCTCAACTCAGATCTTAAATGTAAGCAGTCCACAGCCATAAAGAGCCAAAGATTTTTAGATTATCATCGGCTATTCTGCAGTTCCTCCCTAAAATGTCTGTTTGGCTTTGAAATGCACAGTAAACACCATGTACATTCAATAATTTTTGTAATTATAGCAATGAGTGAATGAATTAGGTTTAATTTCTCCATAAACTATTTTTCTATGGATCCAAAAGGAAGTAAACAAAAGGACGTTCGGTTCATGAGAGCTTATTGAGAAGCTACTCGTTGGCCATGCACTCCTCTCCACTGTGGACAGCTGCTGCCCTGTGTGGTAATGGCGAGGGGAGAGAACAGTCCATCAGCAGTCTTTCCCACTGACTGAACCTAGGCTATCTAAATAGCTACCAGGAGAGAAGATTTCCAGCTTTCTAAGACTTGGGCATCTGGTATTTCTGGAGTTTTTCTTCTAGGCTTTTAGCTTATAAGAACAAGTGAGACAATGTGGATGTACAGCTAGCTACAGTACATTCCTGCTCTCACTGTAATGAGTTCCTGGTAGAAGCAATGAACCCATTGCTTCTCTTCTATGACCCAGAGCTCACACATCAAGTTAATAAAACATAAGTCAGATTCCTTCTTCTTATGACCTTATTTTGGTCTATATAAGTCTCTCCTCCATAATACGCCATCCTATTATATCCCAGACCTTTCTTTCTAAGAATCAAATAACTAGAACTTGTTTACTGAACCTTAATTAATTAGTTTTCATGTGTTTATTTTATTCAGCACTGGGAGAGAACATAGGTACTCCATTAGGTTTAATTGCAAATGTGTTCATGAGCTACCTCTTTTTATTTATTAAAACACAGATCATTCCACAATTCTGGTTGTTTCCCCCCTTGTTGTCTGAAAGGTCCCTGTAGGTTGATTGACTTCTGGTTTCTGCTCAGTTTACTCACCGACCCTTTGATGTCTATTCATCCTAAACAGTGGATTTTATAATGAATTGCATATTTAATATTTCTCAGCCTTTACATCTGTTCTACACTCATTTGCCCTATAAAAAGAAGCTTCTGCATTTTTCATACTATCTCCTAACCAGTATTTCTCATTAATCTTTTATGTGAGACCTAATAATTAAATGTATAATTTGAAATATATTCTAAGTACGGCCTTCCTACTTTTGTTTACTAATATTGGTAACATAATTTATAGCCAGAATGCTGGTGTAGGGTACATGCAATTTGAATTAGTTGCCAGGTGATATGTACAACATGCGTGATAGACAATATTGGAAATTGTGGTACACTTTGTAACTATAGTACATTTTGGGTAACCATTTAATACATTTTGGGCAATCTTCAGATGCCCAAATTATCACAACTTGGACTCTATGAAATGTTTTTATTAAAAAGTTGGCCTCTGTCCTTTCAAACTGCTTTTTTCTGTTTACCTGTGAAAGAATCCTGCTTAGTAACAACAGTGAAATTGTCTAAACTCGTTGTTCCTGCTCTTCAGTGTAGAGTTCAAGGATAATGTTAGGGACTGAGTCTGAGCTGCAACAGTGCGCAGTGGATGCTCTACATAATTGAGGCAACAAGATGGCGTGAAGCAAAAGCATGTCTAAACAAAAAAGGATATTTTTGTTTTTCCTAATTTACTTCTGGCTATGTGTAAGTTTCTTTTTATTTTCTTTGAATGTTTAATCCATTTTCCCTTTTGACCTACCATTTGTCTAAATTTCAATGTCATCCCCAAATTTTAGATTGTATCTCCAAGTGAGATGCCATGGAAAATGTAAAATAAAATGTATTTTTCCTCTTGCATCCTTTTTTTCTGATTGCTCTCACCACCATGTACCCAGTCACTGAAAGGAATAAGCTAGTTCTCTTTGGCTTCTCCCTTCTATACTTTGCCCCGCTTTGTTACCGATTCTTACAGAGCTTATTCCTAAATATGTCCTTTATCTGTTCCTTCTCATCATATCTCCTACTTTAATTCAAGTATTAACTAGTCAGCAGTTGGACTACTGTTGTCCAATACTTGATCATTTTAGGAAAACCAGTAATTATAAATAAGCAAATTGAACAAACTGAAATTAAACTATAATTTTATCATTCAGATATTAGCATTGTTTTTATTTTTAGCCCCCAAAAGTTAATACCTATTATACTATTTTCTTTTGTCTTTTCACTTAGTGCAGTATTGTATAGATTTTTTGTATGTCCGTAAACATACTTCCATGATATAATTATAAAGTCTGCTTATTTGATCCTATGGATCTGATTCTCTATTATGCTTTTTAAAAATCTCATTTGAACCACTGGGACCCTAGCCAGTGAAGATGCTCACATTTCATTTCAAATATACTGTAAGAAGACCAAAATCTTCAGTAGTACAGACCACCTGATAATATCAAAGCACTAATAATTCACTTTAAAGAAAAGAGAGACATATAGCCAACTTGTAGACTATTTGGTATAAGCAAATGCAGACATTAAGGTTCATGACAGAAAGCATAAAAGGGGCCACAATGATGAGAATAAGAGCCTGAGTTCCAAAAGAAGGATCCGCATTGGCTGGTGCTAAGTGGGCAAAAGCATTGATCCTTTTGTTCTCCCATTGACTTTATCCTTATTATCACCATCACACATCATTACTGGTCTGTCCTCAGCAACATTCTCCCCATGGCACCTGCCCATAACGTGTTTCTAAAGCTGCTTTTCTCATAGCCTCTCTTCTTGGCATAAGCAACCAGGGGAAGGAGGAATTCAGCACGATTCCTCACTATTCTGTCACCTTCTGAATTCTTTTGTGCTTCAGTATTCCTCATATACCCAGGTAGTACTCTTGGTTGTTTTCTATGATACTGAGGTGGCCTGTCTTCTGTCTACTTGTGGCTATAAAGTAATTGTACTTGACACAGTCAGAAAATTCTCTGACACGTAATACCAATTACATGGTAAAAAATGTAAGACAGCCCTGGCTGGCGTAGCTCAGCGGATTGAGTGCGGGCTGCAAACCAAACTGTCACTTGTTTGATTCCCAATCAGGGCACATGCTTGGGTTGCAGGCCAAGTCCCAACTTGGGGGCACACAAAAGGCAACCACACATTGACGTTTCTCTCCTTCCCTTCCTCTCTCTCTAAATATAAATAAAAATAAAATATTTTTTTAAAATGTAAGACATTATTTCAAAGAGAGTAGGAAATTTTTTATAATGTGAAAATGGTTGTGGTAGTCTAATTTACGTGATGAAACTTACATTCAAACTTTATGGAGACTAAATAGTAATTATGAAAAAAGTATAGGGTGACTTCTACTTTTCAAAGGTAGAGTTGGTGTTCTTTCCCTTACCCCTCTTACTGTGTGCAGCTAAAATCTCTGGACATAGCATATAAAACAAACATAAGATGTCTCTGGAAGATGAAGAGAATAAGACAGACCAGCAAGGGACCTTAGGTCCCAAGGACCATTCCGAGGTCAGGTCTCTGGGTTTTCTTTTCACCTCACATAGCCTAGACTGAGTGATTAAGAATGGCAACATATGCAGAAAAAAGAGGGGGGTGACACAAGCCTGCTCTCTCCAGCCAGAGGACCAGGAAAGGTTAGTGTACCACGACAGAAAACTTGTTGAGAGTTACCACTTTAATTCTTGTTGAGAGTTACCACTTTAATTCAGCCAAATACCACAGAAAAGCCTGCCTGCTAAACCTGGTGTGCAGCCGGGACACCCATCCTCACCTGGCAGTAATGAGGCCCCCCTGCCTCCCCCTGCTTGGGTGGTGTCAGAGGAGACTTTGGCAGAGAGTTAGGACTTTGACCACCATCCGGTGGTGACTAGGATGCAACCTCTCCTTCCCTTTCACACGTGTATTTGTTTAACACATGAAACTATATAAAAGTAGGAAGTGTTGGCAAAGAAGTAGTAAAGAAAACCAAAAAAGAAAGTTTAGCACTGAAAAATACTGTAACCAAAATTAAAAGCTCAGTGGACAGGTTCAACAATAAACCCGAGGGAACAGAGGAAAGAATTAGAGAATGTGAAGATGAGAGGAAATAAAATGAAAAATTAACAGAGCCTCAGAGACCTGTGGAACCATCACAAAAACATCCAATATTTGTGTCATTGGAATCCTGCAACAAGGTTAGGACTACAAATTCGAAGAAATGATGGCTGAAAACTTTCCAAGTTTCAAAGACTTAAACCTATGGAATCAATAAACCCGAAGAGTATAAACCTGAAGAAATCCACACCAAGACACAATATGGTTTAACTGCTGAGAACTAAAGACAAAGATAAAAATTTCGAAAGCAGAGAGAGAAACACTTTACCTACAGAGGATAATCAGTGCAAATGACAGTGGACTTCTCACCAGAGAAGACAGGACAGAGGAAGAGCATGGCATCATTTGTGTGCTGAAAACAAGGAACTGTCAACCTGAACTCTGCATGCATGGAAAATAGTCTTCAGGACTATTGAGAAAAGCAAGACGTTCTCAGATGAAGGTTTGTTACTGGCAGAGCTACCCTAAAGGAAGGCATAAAGGAAGCTCTTTACCTCTGTACTATCTTTGCAACTTTCTGCAAATCTGTAATTGTACAAAATAAGCTTTTAAAAAAATAAAGAAGAACAAACATAAACTACATAAGAACATTGAGAAAAATGGACTGTGCTTAAAAACATTTTGTATGACCAGTGGATATGGTTGGATGCTCTAAGACTATAAAGTGCTTGAAACACATTACTATAGAGAATCACAGTAAGTTCTTGGATAAGCACATTTTCAAGGAACGGACATCTGATGGTTACATGAAGATGAATTTATTTGGGAATGATTGTAATTTGCTTGCGATCTGCCGAAATGCTAACAGTAATAAAATATTTTAAAAGAGAAGTTTTGCAAACTGTCTGCAAACATTGAGCTGTCCTAGTTTGGGGGTCAGCTGCTGTGATGCCATGAGGAGCTGGCGGGAGAGAAAGCAGTGCCAGTGCCCAGGGGTCCCTGAGCAGCCTGGTGTTGGCTTCTCCTTGGCAGAGAACCTGCGCCCCTTCTTAGTATGTGAATGTTACAGATTTTGATTTTATAGTCTATGTCATAGTCCAACCTCAGAGGATAAATATAATTAAAAAGAAAAGGCTCATGCTTTAAAATCCTTTATAGAAATGCCAGATCTTTCATTTAAGACCTATATAAGACAAAACAGTATTCTATAATTTACTTTCTGAATAGTGATATCCTAGAATTAATTTGTCTTTAAAGATAAGAAGTGTTTCATGACATGATTTAATTTTCTTGAGTCATAGATAATGGTATTTTCTGTGAATTGAAGAGCTTCACTGTCCTAAAAACTCTGTGCACTGCCTATGTATTCATTTCTTTTCCCCCAACCCCTGCCAAGCTTTCTTTTGATCTGGTTGCCTTAAACAGATGCTATCAATCACAAAGCATATAGTATACATAATATGTACTGGTTTTGAGAGGAACCTGAGCTGTGTGGTGATCCTGGTCTTGTAGTTCACATAACTTTTTTCTGTATGTGTGAATAATTATGATAATGTATTATAGTCTTAGTAGTGATAATTTTCTTTCTGTATTGAAACCATTTAGCAAATTCTGAAGTAATCCATTGAGACTCTAAAGATAACATATGATTCTTTTCTAGCTGTGCATTCATAGGTTCTCAGTGAAGCTATTAAAATTTAATTTACATCATAAACATTGTTAACAATATTAAAATGGTATGGGTTTTGAACTGAACTCCCTTAAGGGCATAACTAAAGAAGTTTTGATGATTTTTATGTACTAGTCTGTGATTTGAGATGCATTGTCACGTATGATTCGTGTCCTTTAATATTCTAATTATTCTCTTGTATATTACAGCTTTAGTGGAGTTACTTGAGAGTTTTGTGCTTCATCTCTCTGAAAGCCCATCGGAATGCTACTTCCCTTCAGTAGAATATACAGGTACATTTTAAACATTTTGAATTTTGAAAGCAGATAATAGACAATATTTCATAAAGATGTACAAATAGATACTATTTCATAGAGATGTGTAATTAGATTACCAATATGCACAGGTTTCTCATTCTAAAAATCTTTCATATACATTGCAGGTGTTCAGTCTCTACTGTGCAAATGTTTGGTTCTTCTTGTAACTTTCTAACTCTATTTTAGTCCTTTTTATTTGTCCACCTCTTAAAAACTGTTTTTCTTTAAGGTAAGGCTTTCTATTCTTCTTATTGAAACTACTATCCCCTGGTGACCTCGTCTGTTCATAATATTTTATGTATCTCATATATTGATGATTTCTAAATCTACATCTTCTACTCAAAGATCTACTATAAGTTTTATTTTTGTATTTCCAACTGCTTAATAGGTAAACATCACTTGCATGTGTTTCAGAAACCCTCAAATTCTAAATGCCCAACAGGGACCTCACCTTATCATACCTTATTGCTGTACATCCTCCTCCTACCTTGCCTATTTTGGTGGGCATCACAGTCATCTGCTGTCTAACCCAGAAACTGAGGAATGATAAAGTCTCTTAAGTTCACATTTTCCTCCCAGTCACCAAACCATGTTAGTTCTGTGTTAATATATCTCAAATTTATCTACTTATATTGATTTCTACTCTTTTTTGTTAGTTCAGGCTACTGTTACCTTTTACCTAGAGTATGACAACAGCCTCTTTATCTGGGTCTCTAATTGGAGTCTGATTTCTTTTCAAAGGCATTCTTTATGCTGTTTCTATAGTGACCTTTGAAGCTCAGATTTGATCCACTCATTCTTCTTTCCCATAGAAGCTCACCATTGACCGCTGCATAAAGTTTAAGCCTCTTACCATAATACCCAAAACCTTCAATTAGTCTCGCCGGTTGTTCCTTTCTCTTATTATTCTTTTCTTTCCATGCCTCATATTTATTTTTCAGGAACACTAAACTATTAGTAGCACTGACAGCTCCTTCCTCTCTCCTTCACTACACACAGAATCATTTATTCAACAAATAGATATTGTCCTCGACTATGTAATAGAACTTTTCTAAGCACTCAGAAACAGGATTGAACAAAAGAGAGAAACAAATCTTGCCCTCGCAGAGTTCACCTTCTGGTGGAAATATAGACAATAATTAAGTAAAAGATTCAGTATGTCACATGGAATGGCAGTAGATGAGAATTACACAGCAGGGAAGAGAGCTGGGGAGTGCTCACTGAGGGTGACGGTTACAATAGTAAGCAGTGTTCAGACAGCAGACGTGGGTGCAAGATATATGGGTATTTTTAAGGGAAGAGAATTTCAGCAAATGGAAGAATAGTAATAGTATGGCTAAACAGAAATAAGGGGGCAGAGTTATTTGTGTGGCAGTCATAAAGGAAAAGATTTTGAGAGTTATTTCAGGGTCTTGAACATAGGATTGACATGCTCCGATTTACATTTTTATTTTTTTAAATTTTTTTAAAATTTATTTATTTAATTGTTGTTCAAATACAGTTGTCTGTTTTTTACTCCCATTTCAGTCCCCCCCCCCAGTGCTCCCCACCTCCCTCCCATTTCCACCTCCCTTAGTTTTTGTACATGTGTCCTTTATACTAGTTCCTGTAAATCCTTACCCTTTCCCCCTGGAATTCCCTCCCCTCTCCCCTCTGGTCACTGTCAACCTGTTCTCCATTTACATTTTTAAAAAATCACTATGTTTGCTGTATTGAGAAATGAATGATGACAAAGGGTTAAAGCAGGGAGACAGTTAAAAGGATTTTGAAAAGATCCATATGAAAAATGGTAATGGCATTGGGTGAGGATGTCACTAGAGATGGTGAAAAGTACTTGGACTCTGTGTATATTTTGAAGATGGGACCAGAAGAAATGAGTAATGAATTGAATACGGGTATGAGAGAAAGGAAAGATGGAATCAAAGAGGATGAAGTTATTGATCTGAACCACTGGAAGGATAGGATTATCATACATTGAGATGGAGAAGAATGGGAAAAGAATAGGTTTGAGTAGGAGATTTAAGAGCTTACTTTGTATGTTAAGTTTTAAATACCTTTTATACATTTAACTAGACATGCTTAATATATGCTACATATCTGAATATGGAATTTAAGGAAAGGTGTTGGGTGGAAATACAAATTATTAAATCATTAGCTTAGTATATAAAGCCAATTTGCATCTGTCATATCTTTCTCATATTCTGACTTAATGTCTACTTTTTTTAGTTTATTTTAATTGATGTTCAAGTACAGTTTTCTGTCTTTTACTCCCTTCCCAGCCCACCCCCTGTGCTCCCCATCTCCCTCCCATTTCCACCCCCCTTAGTTGTTGTCCATGTGTCCTTTATACTAGTTCCTGTAAATCCTTCCCCTTTGCCCCTGACATTCCCTCCCCTCTCCCCTCTGGTCCCTGTCAGCCTGTTCTCTATTTCAGTGTCTTTGGTTATATTTTGCGCACTTGTTTGTTTTGTTGTTTAGGTTCCTGTTAAAGGTGAGATCATATGGTATTTGTCTTTTACTGCCCGGCCTATTTCACTCAGCATACTGCTTTCCAGTTCCATCTATGCTGTTGCAAAGGGTAGGAGCTCCTTCTTTCCTTCTGCTGCATAGAACTCCATTGTGTAAATGTACCATAGTTTCCCAGGGATGCAAGGATGGTTCAATATTTGCAAATCAGTAAATGTAATACATCACATAAACAAAAGCAAAGACAAAAATCACATGATCATATCAATAGATATGATACGGAAAAAGCATTTGAAAAAGTACAGCACCCATTTATGATAAAAACACTCAATAAAGTAGGAATAGAGGGAGCATTCCTCAACATAATAAAGGCCATATATGAGAGACCTACAGCCAACATCATACTCAATGGGCAAAAACTAAAATCTTTTCCACTAAGATGAGTAACAAGACAAGATTGTCCACCTTCACCACTTCTATTCAATATAGTTTTGGAAGTTTTAGCCACAGTGATCAGACAAGAAAAGGAAATAAAAGGCATCTAAATCGGAAAGGAGGAAACAAAACTGTCATTGTTTGCAGGTGACATGATAGTCTTTTTTAAATATATTTTATTAATTATGCCATTGCAGTTTTTCTATTCTCCCCTTCATTCCCCTCCACCCTGTACACCCCTCCCCCACTATTCCCCCCCTTTTAGTTTATGACCATGTGTCTCAAGTTCTTTAGATTCTATATTTCCCATACTATTCTTGCCCTCCCCCTATTTTCTACCTACCATCGATGCTACTTATTTTCCATACCTTCTCCCCCCTTCTCCTCCCCCCACTCCCCTGTTGCTAACCCTCCATGTGATCTTCATTTCTATGGTTCTGCTCCTGGTCTAGCTGTCCTCTTAATTTGCTTTTGTTTTAGGTGTGGTTCTTAATAACTGTGAGTTTGCTGTCCTTTCACTGTTCATCTTTTTTATCTTCTTTTTCTTAGGTAAGTCCCTTTAACATTTCATATAATAAGGGCTTGGTGATGATGAACTCCTTGAATTTGGTCTCATCTGAGAAGCACTTTATCTGCCCTTCCATTCTAAATGAAAGCTTTGCTGGATAGAGCAATCTTGGATGTAGGTCTTTGGTTTTCATGACTTGGAATACTTCTTTCCAGCCCCTTCTTGCCTGTAAGGTCTCTTTTGAGAAATCAGCTGACAGTCTGATGTGAACTCCTTTGTAGGTGACTGTCCCCTTATCTCTTGTTGCTTCTAGGATTCTCTCCTTCATTTTAATCTTGGCTAATATAATGATGATGTGCCTTGGCGTGTTCCTTCTTGGATCCAACTTCTTTGGGACGCTCTGAGCTTCCTGGATTTCCTGGAAGTCTGTTTCCTTTGCCAGATTGGGGAAGTTCTCCTTTATTATTTGTTCAAATAAGTTTTCCACTGGTGGCTGTTCTTCTTCCCCTTCTGGTACCTCTATAATTCGGATGTTGGAACATTTAAAGATGTCCTGAAGGTTCCTAAGCCTCTCCTCATTTTTTTAAATTCTTGTTTCTTCATCCTGTTTGGTCATTTTTTTCTTCCTGTTTGGTCATTTTTTCCTTCCTTCTGGTCTGCTCCCTTGATTTGAGTCCCAGTTTCCTTTCCATTACTATTGGTTTCCTGTGTATTTCCATTCATTTCAATTAGTTTAGCCTTCATATGTTCCTCTAATTTGTGACTAAAATCACCCAGTTCTGTGAACATCCTGATCACCAGTGTTTTGAACTGTGCATCTGAAAGTTTGGCTATTTCTTCATTGCTTAGATTTATCAGCTCTGGGGCTCTGAGTTGTTCTTGAGCCATGTTTTGATCTGTTTGTGCCTGTGACGTATGAGGAGCGGAGCCTTAGTTGTTTACCAGGGCGGGGCCACCCAGGTCTCTGGTTTGTGATGTGGTTTGGCTGAAGGGTTCCTTGTTGTCAGACTTCCATGTAGTTTGATTTTCTGCGGTTTGGCTGCATTTTTGTTGCTAAAACTTTGTTGTTTTTAAACTTAGTTGTGCGAGAAAGGGTAGTGCTTCCACCTACGCCTCCATCTTGGCGGAAGTCCGACATGATAGTCTTAATGTCTAATTTTTAACATGATAGTAAAAGCCAGTAAAGTAGGTTCCATGTCTTAACTATTGTGTGTATCCTCTGCACCTAGAATAACAGTGTCAACCTATGTTGGACAAGTGAAAGAGAATGTGTAAAAGAATGAATGAGGGAGACTTTATATACTGTGCTAATCAGTTTGTCTTGATTTTAATGGGCAAAGAGTAAACCATTTAAGATTGCTCAGCAGAAGCTTTACTTGATTAATCTGTACCTTAGGGAGATTATTTTAGTAACTTTGTAAAGGATGAGGTAAAATGCAGAACTAAAATTTGCCAAAGGTGAATATCCAGTACTCAGGTTGGTAAACAAAGAGATGGTAGAGAAAGCAGAGAGGTAGCATGCACTCAAGACAACAGATCATCAAGGAGTATTGCATTTCTTTTTCAT